GCCTTACTTGCGAGTACCCTGGGAAGTTTTCAGCTACGTCTCCACTTAGAACAGATGGATGACTCACAGTCGTTCCAGTAATAACAAACAGTTCCAGCTACGCAGGTAGTTTCTCCAGTCCAGTTAAGCTGTACAACCATTAGCGGGTGGGATCAAGTCGTTTCGAGAGATGCGTACACCACCACATTGACCTAATAGTACCATGTTAGTTTAACGAGATGAGTTGGTCCGAATGACGTGCTTACCCCATTGCGCAACAACGGCGTTGGCGCCTTGAAAAGCGAGTGTGGAGAGGGCGATTCCAGCAGCTAATCCCCTCATGCTAAAAAAGAACGGGGAATGCGAATGTGCAGTTGCGAAACGGTCATGATCCCAATCGTATCCTTTTATTCTCACTAGACCTCCATACCGGGAATCATCCGATCGAGTTGTTCATAGTTAATGGGAGACGTTGGGTACGCCCTGAGGTCGTCACACCAGCTATCCCAGGGATGAACCGACAAATCGGCTGTATGACTTCGATGCGGGGGAAGTTGAGAGGAATGAATGTAGGTTACGACGTAGTTGATCCGATGGAAGCCGTCGCCGGTAGGCGAGAAGGAAAAGGGACAGCCAAGATTACTTATGGCGTATTATTAGTCTTGACTTGCCAACTATCCGCCTCCATCGTCCCCAGAAGTTGTCTATCCAAGCCGTGGGAGCAGTCGTGGTCGGAAGCAAGGTTCATGAACTCGTTCTCGCGCCTATCGACCAACCAAAGCGCAAAAAGTCAAGAAATTTCAAAGAAAAAAAGTCTCCTCCTGCCAGTTTCGCACTGGAAGAAAGGGAAAAAAAAACCGGGGCGAGCTGGGAGTCGAACCCAGGGCCTCTCACAATCATGGCAGAAATTTGCCGGTAAAACCCGAAGCGAGAATCATAGCCACTAGACCACACGCCCGTTAAAAGATTCAATAACTTATAGTATATACAAATCATCAAAAACTTAAATGGCTGGAGTCGCATCCTTGTCATCTGCGCTCACTGGCCACCAGCCACGTTGACTCAATATTCAACATAGGTACTTGACAGTTGGCAAATTTCTTCTTACGATAAGCTTTTGACCGTTCTGATGCTTCGGTCCTCGTATTATGAACAGATAGAAACGAGTTTACCGGGATGCTCAAGGATCGAATTCGAAGGTTGAGACCATTTCCCTGGTGTGATGTCAACCTCACTGTATTCGGAGACCATTTCGACGGGACTCACAGTCGTCTCGATTGGGCGGTTGGAACGGTACTTACTCTGAATGAAAACTTGTGAGACGCGGACGGTGCACACGCAGGGAGGTGCCGATCGGTCGAGTACGAGTCTCCCATGCGTAGAGTGTTCCTTTAGCCGTGCTTTCGATAAGGTTTTCTACGTATTCCTGGCTGTAGTTGGTGCTTTCCCGATCCATTAGTCGCGCTTTCTCCGTCGCATCACAGTGGTTCCAGCAGAAACCGTGTCTTTCGGGTTCTCCACTCTTTGCTATGACGAAGATGATCTTCCTCGTAGTTGAACTCTATGTCTGTCTAGTACATATCCCGCGGATTCGGGGTTTCCTGTATGACATTGCTTTGCCGCTCGTCTATCGGAGGGCGCGACAATCACTTGTGCCAGGCTAGTTCACTTACAACAGTTTGTACAAGCTTTATTACACAGGCTATTTAATGGATGTTAGGCGTAGAGCTGACCCAGCAAGCAACAAATGAGGTCGTTCTTGTCGATTGGGAAGCATAAACCCATTCTTCCCTTCTTCCCTCCCGAGAAAGCGATATGATGGGCTTATTTGAGCTCGAGAGCAGTCACTTGGACGCTACTTCTGAGTTTTTGACGGTCTTCTACCTCTTTTGTAGCCGATTTCGGCGGATATATGTGCACTATTGATCCAGAGTGGCGATTGTTCCGAAGGTTATCCAGCCATAGTCGCTATAGTAGAAGCCCTAGAAGATGATCGAAGCGGAGGTTAGCAAAGGAAGTCTTGACGGGAAAAGACAGCGAAGGTTGGACGAAAAGATGCAAGTGAGACATACAGCTCAGATGAAAGGACGATACCAACTGTACGCTCGTCTAGGTCTAGCTCACATCTGGTGCAACGACAGGCGCTTTGGCATATTCATAAACGTGGATCCCATTTATCACAGCTCATTTACTCTAGCAATGAGTCCAATGGGTTGGGTTGGTCGAGTTTGTCAGAATGAAGGTACGAGTCGTGAGAGCACGAGAAGAGTCGTGGTCTACAGGCTCAGTGTCAAAGGGGGTTGATCTTAGAGCCGGATAAAATCCAATGAAAGAGTAATAGACGGATGAGGTGGTCCATTGAGCCATACCCCAAAGAGTACAAAGGAAGGATACGCAGATTGATTAATGCGAAGGAGACGTGGAGGGCTTAATACGATACAACATGGCTGACAGTGAACTTGATCAGAGTCTCTCGGTTTCGACAATAATGCGAGTGCGAAAGCAATGACAGATTGATGAGAACGACACAACACTTCACTTCTGGGAGGAGCACCAGTCGAGTCAGTATCCATTAAGCATTGAGGATGAATAGCACTACAAAATGTTGGATTGAACTTTTGTACTACCAGATAAATCGCCCGTTGATATTTATAGGCCTACACAAGGCGCGCTGGTCGTAATCAAGAACGGTGAAGAGTACGAGTGAGTTACTCATGTGCATAAAGAGGAGTGCATTAGGGATCGATATGATACTGCATGGGACGAAGCGCCAAGCGGCAGTGCCAGCTCGGCGAACCTTGATCTTGGATTGAAAGTGGAATGAAATCGAGAATAAAGAAGTAGATAGACAAATAGTTAGCTTTTGGTCTTCTTAAATACATAAATAATCGAATAGAATAACTACAAACCAAAAGGTTCATTGTTGATCCACCAATGAACGATGGCCGCCTTTGTCTAGAAACCGAGCGATTTCGACCATTTGTTATTATTTTCCCGACCTTGCCGACGAATGCTTTTGCTGGGCTTGGCTCTTGCGATTTTTGCTGGATCAATTGGAAAGGGCTCGTCCTTCTTATCGGCCAGCTTCTTTTGATGTTCTGCAGCCATCGTACTCATCCGATCATGAGCATGCTCGTAATCTGTCTCAGCAGACTCCTGATACCTATCTATCCTCTTCTCATGATCTTCAACTTCTTTCTCCCGTCCTTCACGGGTACCGGCTGTACTGGCAGGTGGTAGTCCACGCCATGCTTCCAGTGCTTCATGATAATGTGCGTACCCCCTCTCCACGCTGTCACCGGTTGGTCCGGATTCTTTAGAATTTGCTGCAAGATAATGTGATTTCTCCATGTGACTATGCATATTCGCAAGTATCCCTTGCTTGTTGGCAGTGTCCCTGGCCTCCTTAGCCGCGTTTTCATGGTGTTGTATAGATATCGACTCAGGTTCGAGACCTTCTACACCAGCCTTGTCGACTGACTCTTGTAGGGTTTTATGAGTTTGTGCCATTCTATCGTGGCTCTCGGCAATTGAGTTATATTCTTTCTGGAGGGCAGTATGGCCATCGGCCTGTTCATCATGGAATTTTGCCATGTCCCGGTTATCTTTCGAAGAATATTTGGCTGCAAAAGGATGGATGAGTAAATTTCTCTCCACCTTGTCTCTCGTCACGAGGATGGGAAGTGGATTAAGATAGACTAGACGAGGTGTAGTCGTGCTTCATGACCGGTCAGCAGAAATCAAAGCAAAGTTTTAAAAAAACCATTACCTATCTGGACTTGACGAGACAGGTATAGCAGCAGAGGCAACTAGGCCGGCCGTTGCGAACATAAACGTGAATATGAGGCGCAAATGCATGAGAAGAGGAATGTGAAGCGAGAATAATAGTAATGTAAATGAATAGATAATAGAAGTCTCAGATCGAGGAATAATAGAGAAGAATGATAGATAAAGAGATATGTTAGAAGAGGTCGATGAGAAAAAGGATGGCAAGTGAGAACCAGTCTGAGGAATGGAAGGTGTCGTCGAGGGCGTTGCTTATATAGCGTTCTGAGAGGCTATGTTGCACCACCAATCAACTATAATCAACGAAATCTGATGCATCCGACTTGCCTGCCACTGTGTCAGAAGACGGCGATTGGCGAAGTGGTTTGACAAGGCCGTCTGCGCCACTGCCTACTTCACTTTGCATTGACACTCCGATATTATACTCGAAATGATCCGGTGCTAGTTGCTACTTCACTTTAGGTTAGACCAATTGGATATCTTCGCCGGCATGCGTAAAGTCATACCGATTATGAATAGCGCACCAGGCACCAGGTAGTATTCTCTCATGCTAATCTCTAGTACCCCTTACACAACTGAGGCCACATCTTTGTACCAATTGGTTCCGATAGCGCATATATGTAGCCAAGGCACGTAGAATGCTGTTCTGATCGTCCAATTAGCACTGGCCCCCCATTTAGAAGCCACTTCCGATGGCATTTTCCTGTTCCCAAGCTCTTGGATGTTTGATCTATCCGCCATTGACAGATTCGGCTCCCGCGACGAGACCAAAAACCGGACAGGACCAAGGACCGGACATCCCGGTCTATTGATCTTGTATGTAGAGCCATGTGTATGAGAAGCAATTGGGTGGTTTAGTATATTGTTCGCACCGGTTACTTTGCAGCAGTAACTTAAGACGAAGTTCTAAACCACATAGCCTCGTTTTAAAGTTTTTCGGTGCTATGGGCAGTGGCGTAACAGATGAAGAATCTCCTTCATGCGTCGATTCTTGGGAGAGGAATGTTCGTATCACACATACAGTGTAAAATTGGCCCCCAATCGTCTAGAATCAAGTGAAAATGGCCTCCGTGTTGCCTTCAGGTCTTCGTTTGACCCGCTAAGACCACAGATTACATATATGAATGTGCCGGACGCCAGTAGACGTAGCATATCCCCTTTAATCCTCGTTTCGTTGCGTTCTCGACTTGAAAGTCGGCGGATAACGCGAAGCGGATAGTACCGAACAACGTCCATGAGTGGAGTGACGCATGCGGGGATTGGCGAACGAGAGTGTTTCAAAGAAGTCGGCCGACATAATGATGGCTATGTAAAGCGCAACCAAAATACGGATTGGGACCGGGAATGGGGATTGGAGTGATTGGTCTCAGAAATCGGTACTCGGGGCATCGAAGACAGGACATTTCCCCTTCCCCCCCTCCCCCCCTCTACACCCTAAAGATCAATCAAAACAAGAGTCTCAGACAATATTCTGACAAATCTTCTCTCTTTTCTGGCCTTTTCTCCACGTCCCTGCCGATGGGGAGCCACGGCGGCATACTTATGAGCCATTATCTCCAACACAATGCCGTATTTGGGTCATCCACATCGGGAGATTTCAAATGTTAAACGTAAATTTTCAAAGGTAAAAGTAAGCCGTCCCACTGTTTGTGACCTCACGGGACCATTGAGGTCGTTGAGTTACATATTTCACTTGGACCCAGCAATCACCTTGACAAACCGGCTGGTTTACACCCTCTCATGTGTCACACCCCTACGTAACTCTATACTACTGAGGTATCCCTCACCCGTAAGAACGATTTTTGGGGGGGGGGGGGGGGGGGGGGGGGGCCGCCGGGGGGGGGGGCGGCTGCCTCCTTAAATGTGGGGTGGTTGGGGTATTGGCGTTGTGAGTTTTATTAGGAA